TAAGGATGAGGTCTAATTATTTTTTATGCAACAAAAAAGTTATACTAATGCTATTTCAATAAAATTGGTTATTACTACCATGAAATTTCTGTGATGCTATTAACTGTTTTTGCTCTTTTTTAGAAAATTTAGAAAAATAAATTGAAATTTCGTGCCACTACTGACATGTCACATGTTATTGTATGTAAAGATTAAATTTTTGTTATGAGAATTACAGTTCTTATGAAAAAAAAAGGTAAAGAGTATTGTTCGTATATAAATATTTATATTTTGTTTACTTTGAATCTTTTAAAATTTTCTCATGCCATTTTTAAAATTTTTGTTTGCACAATTCAAGTTATATGTTTATCGTTTGCATTGCTTTTGATAATTATCTGTATATTGTAAAATGTGCTTTATAGCTTTTTTATCAATGTGTTTTTATAATAATGTAACATGTTTTTTTATTGTTTGTGTATGTGTTAATATAAGTTATATAATTGTTTTATAAATGTGTTTAAATATGTTTAAATATGTTTATATATGTTTTCAAAGTGCTGTGAATTGGTAAACCTGTAAAGCAAGATTTGTCAACCTTGCCAGCCAAGTCACTTACTGCAAAGGGTTACGAAGCAGTGTTTCGTGTCAAACTGTTACTGCTTTAGGTCTAAGTGTTTTCAAGCCTTTATTAATAATTACTCTTATTTATATAACATATTGTATTTTTTTGTAACTGTATTTTAATAACATTTTGCGTAATGTTGTTACTGATGTTCTGTTATATATGAATGTTATGTTTCTTAAGTTATGTTATATGCATATTATATTAACTCATGGTGAATGCTCTTGTTGTTGCGATGTTGTTTTTTTGTAATCTTTTGAGTTGATATACATTTGGTTTACCTTCAAGTTGTTGTCTACTGTTAAAAACGATACATAGTTAATTTCATTATTAGACCTCACTGCATTTAATCATTCACTAAAATTAATATTTAGATTCACTAAAAGCCTACTACTACTACTACTACTACTACTACTACTACTACTACTACTACTCACATCAGCTTTATTGGGTACAATGATTTCTTTTTTTTGTATGTAATTTTTTTCTTATTTACTTATTTGTTACATTTTTTATTTATCAAATGATGTATTTATGTGGTATAGAAGAACAAAATATTGTTAAGTTTTGTGAATTTTTTAAAAATTTTTACTAATATTTTTTTCAAATAAATAATATTGAAGTTTGCTTAAAAGGGTTTTACTACGTTTTTTTTTCAATTTTTCTATATTAGGAGTTCTTATTTTATTATTTTTAATGCAAATATCTATTTTTTATTATATTAATATTTTTTCTTTAGATCTAAATTAAAGCAGCTACAGATTATATTGCTCCCAGCACCCAGGACCACTCTCTGAGAGGTCCTTTAACAAATGTTGCAGTAATAATGGTATGGATAAGCCCTCTTTCAAATGGAGAGCTCATCCATACAGGAGTGCTGGGAGGCACCAAGTAAAAAATAGCAACAAAAATTTTTTTAATACATTCAATCAGTGAAGATATTAACAATTTTTTTGTTGCTGTTTTTTCCTTGGTTTTTATTTTCATTAAAAAAGTATATATATTCTAAATTATGTTTGTTTTTATTTTTTTAGTTTTTGTTTAGATTATTATTCATAGTTTTTATTACTTTAATTTTTGATTCACAATATAACGTATATAATAGCCATATTGCTTCGAATATATACCATATCAGTTAATCAGTTTTAAAAAAATGTACTGCAGCAATTTATTAAATATAACAAAAATCACATTTATATTTTTGTAATATTTTTAAGTTATAATTTTAAACTAATTTGTTGATTTCCAGCAGATTTTATTTCTTTTGATTGTTTTGAATTTAATAATTTAGTGTTTATAGCTGCCTTCAACTTATGTAAAGCTTTAATAAATTTAATCTTCTGATTTTAATGTGTAATAAACAATATAAAATATTGGAAAAAAGATTATATTATTGGCATTTCAGTGATGCTGTTAAATTTTTTTCTTTTCTTTAGAATTTAGAAAAATGAATTAAACTACAACTTTTGAACAGTCGTTGTTTGTGAAGGTTAAATTATTTGCATGTTTTTTATACAATTTTTTTATAGAAATAGTATTAAAGTTTACTAAAAGAGGTTTACAAATACTTTACTTTTTATTTTTTGTCTTCTTTTTTTTTTTTTTTTTTAACAGTACCCTTTATTATTAAAATTTTTATTATTATTGTTATTTTTTTATTACTATGGGTTAATTTTTTTATTTACATTATATTTATAAGTTTATTTTTTGTTTAAACATCTTTTAACAGATATGTTTATAAAAATGTTTTTATAAAAAACTCACAATATTGTTGTATAATTTGGTTTATTTTAAATGAAAATTTCCTATGTAATGTTTTAAAAATTATTCTTTGTGTGTGTGCAATTTAGAGAAGTAAAAAAAAAAAAAAATCACAATCTTCAAGATTCTTTCAAGATTTTTTGTTACTACTATCAATTAAAAGTGAAGTTTAAATGGATGATATAAGGCTAGAAGTGGCTATTAGTTTAGAAAATGATGGAAATGTTAATAAGCAAGTTGAAAATAATCATTGCAGAAATGCAAGAAATAGGCTGAGGCAGGATGAAATTAATAATCAACAAAATGCTAGATATGTTGCATGGCAAGCCGCGAATAATTTAAATCAAAATGAGGACAGTGTGATTAGGCAAGTTGAAAATAGTCGTCACAGAAATGCAAGAAATAGGCTGAGGCGGGATGAAATTAATAATCAACCAAATGCTAGATATTCTGCTCGGCAAGCAGTAAATACTTTAAACTGAAATAGGGAGAAAAAAGGGCAAGATAGATGTCACTGTAATCTCCCTTCACATAATGAAGTTGCATTTGTATTTTTTGGTGAAGATGGTGCTCCACCTACTTCCAGTGAAGTTGTTATTTTCCCAAGAGGTCATCCTCTTAAAATATATCAAGTATGTCTGCCAAATTAGAGCCTATGGTTTGTACTCTATTTTTTCTAAGGGGTGATGCTGGTTGGCATAATCAATTGGTTTACAACCCTGAACGTGCTACATTGATTAGAAATCATGTTACATTATCTCAGTATTATAGTTATAGACTTTTAGTTGGACAATTAACCTAAACAAAAAAAAATAGGTGAAGTGATTTTTAGTAACTTCAGATCACTTTTTTGTTATTTTTTTATTACTATTAGAAGGGTTTATATTAAAAAGTTTTTAGGCAGTAGAACTGGTACTGATTTTAGTAAGTTTGCTATATTTTTTTATTTAATATTTTCATTAGATTTAATAGGTTTTTCTTAATTACTCTGGAGTAAAATATATTGAGTGATAATGCTTCATTTTTTACACTTTTAGATTATGTATTGTTGTCTAGATTCTTTGTTAAATTACAATTTATTGATGTAAATAAATTTTTATTTTTATTTTTGATAGACAACTTTTATCGAAAAATAAAAATAAAAATTTATTTACATCAATAAGGAGGCGTGAACTTCCTATTAAATGCTTATCCACGGTGCTCTGTGATAAGACCTTGAGGACTTCTTGGAGCACCTAAAATAAAATTAAAAAAAAAGTTGTTGAAATATAAGAAATGCTGCTCGGCGAGTAGAAAACTTACTTGCCAGAATTCAATGTCAAGCCGTGTTAATGTGTGTTTATTTGATTTTGTTTTAAACACTTTAAAACAATTTAAATCAAATAGTTTTAAATTTAAATGATTCTAAATTTTTTTATAAATTCAAACATAATTATGTTCTTTTTTTTTTTTAGTTGCCTTTGTTATCACTTGATTAGTTTGCTTACTGTTGAAACATGGTTTTAATTTTGTAAATTTAATGATATGAAATTTACTCTATTAATCATTAGTTGACAGGTAAAGAGAAGCTGGAACTTTACATAATAAAGGTAAAAATAATTTTGTTTACTCTTAGATTAGAGTTAAAAGAGAGTTAGTACATGGAGCATCAATAAAACTTATATAATTACTTTTTAGTTAAAAAAAAGTAATTATATAAGTTTTATTAATGCCACAATTGATAATGACCATGTATATAAAAAATTTTATGAGCTGCTTGGTATTTTATAATAAAATTGTTCAATATTGTAATCAATAAAATCTTTTTAGCTCAAGTATTTTAGTTGATAAAATATCTTAATTTGTGGTGTTATACGTTATTACGTTATTTACTACGTTAAGTTGTCTAGCCTTTATATAATCTTTTCTTTTTTAATCATTTTGAAGAGACATACTAATGTGTGCTTACAAATATCTTATGCTATGCGCTATTGTTAATGTGTTTTGTGTTGATAGAACTGGGCTATTACAGCAAGTCTTTATATCTTCATTCTACCAACAATAAAATGCAAATAATACTTTGTAATTAAAAATTGTAATTATTTTTCGTTCCTTTTTTAGGCATTAGAAGGCCTTTCTTAATTTTTTTTTTTATGGTACCTGCTGTGTTGTAACAGATTTTAAAAAGAACTTAACTGATGTTAACGTAGTCTTTTGTTGTTAACTGTAAGCAATTATTTAATTACTAATAACCCGTATTACGGGTTGCTTACTGCTAGTGTATTTAATTAGTCTACTAATTTATTGTGCTTTATAAGTACTCAAGTACTCAAGTAAAGTAATTTTATTTTCATTTTAAAAAATAGATATTTTATTGACAAATAAAAAACATTTAACAAATTGATGATAATTTTTAACATTAAAAAAAAATCACTACAAACATATTTCATATTAATATTTATAACTTTCTATTTTAAAGCCAGAGTTCTCTATTTCAGCCAGAGTTCAATATGACATATTATTACCCAGTAAGCAGGCACTATTTGGCCCAATAGCGAACCAGGCTCGGCTGCCGAGCTGTACCAGGCGTGGCACGCCAGTACCGTGCAAGCGCCGCGGCGCTTGCACTGTACTGCACGCAATTATCATATGGAAAAGACTACATTTTACTTCGGTTTCAGAATATTCAACCTGTTCTGGATATGTCAATTTTTTTGTATTGCTTCAACTTGGTTAAACCTGGAGGAACAAGATGACGATTATGAGTCACTATATTTTTAAATTCAGTCCATGTTCTATCTGTAAGTTTCAAATTACAAAGAGCTTGCAATGACAAATTTGAACCATATAAAATAGCCC